AAGAAAAATGTTACAACTGTGTAATTAGAATAGTTTTGAAAAACAATTATCTATATTCCAGGTTTAGTGCTAATTCTTATCACAATTCAAATAATCACTTTTACATTAAACACTTGACATATAATAATATTTTTTAACATATTAAACATACTATAGTAGACTCAATTACCTTAGCTAGTGGCAAATGACATAAACATAAATAAATTGATAAGCCAAGAACTTGATTTTAATTATTGAAGTAATCATTCATGAAGATATAAATTTTTTGTCACTGCTACAAAATTTAGCAAATTTTTATGTTGCCATTTTATTTTTATTCTGTAAAATTCCCTCTCCGTCAAGTATGCTGAGAAATAGGGAGATAATTTATAAGAATTGGGTAATGAATATCTAGTGAATGTTCTATCTTCTTTCATTCATATATGAAGCAAGTATTTATTAATCATGAATCTATGCCAGACAAATGTGCTTGATACAGGAACATGTCAATCTTTTTAAAAAGTGACAGTCCCTGCCTTCACAGAGCTTGTGGTCTAGTAGAAAAATTCATTGTTCAAAAATCATACAAATAATGTAAAATTGCAACTCTCATACTGTTAGGGAAGTGAGGGATGCAGGCTTCTGATGGTGTAAACAAAAAGAATTACTATTCCAGTCAAAAGAGCCATGGATAGCTTTCCTGAGGAAGTGATAATTGAGCTGATTTATGAATATGAATAAAAGTTTACTTGAAGAAGTTTCAGGAGGGTCAATTCAGACAGTACAATCAGCATGTATGAAGATCCTGCATTGGGAAGAAGTGCTGGAAAGAAAAATGGTCCAGTAGGAATATGTCGAGGTAGGTGGAAGATAGTGTATCCAAAGATGTATAGGCTTTGTTAAAGATTTTAATCTTTTTCCTAAAAGCAGTGCAAATCCACTGAAAACCTTTACATTGTGGCAGGGACAGGATCAGATGTGCTCAACAGAACGAATACTTTGGCTGCAATAGGGAGGTTAGAGATGAGAAAAGGTAGATTTCAGGTAGACTCGTAAGGAGCCCTGGAAAGCAATGATGAGAGCTGAAAATAGTAGAGAAGTGAATGGATATTAGGATTCTCAGTAGGTAGAATCAGAAGTGACAGACAGGATAGGGGAATAAGACTGAGAAAAATAATGAGATCACCGAGATTTAAGACTTACATAAAAAGATTTTCATTGAAGCAGAAAATATTGGAAGAGACTGGTTTGAGTTGAATGCCTCTAGTATGATCTTGGCCATGTTAAATTTGAGATGTTTTTGAGACATCCAATAGAAATATCAATTATGTAATTGCATAAATCAGTATATACTCCAGAGCTCATCTCTGTATCTACAAATGTAAATTTTGTAAATCATGTGTATAGATGGGAGTCAATGGAGGTAATGATATGAATGGGATTGCCTAGGCAGAGGATCTCCTATGAAAAAAGGGTGTAGGTCCAAGTCCAGAGGATTGCCGACATGGGCTTGAAAAGGAACTGAGAAAGAGGCTTAATCATGACATGAAAATTCAAGGAAAATAATGTTTATGGTGGAGGGGGCCATCATCACTGTCAAATATTGTCAAGAAGCCTAAACAGATGAGCACTAAATTATATCCATTTGATTCAATAGTGTAAACATTAAGAAGCGCTGCGTCCATTGAGTAGTCGAACACTCGATAATATGAATACAAAAGAGTCTTCCAGAGTGACTGTGAGGTGTGGAAATACAGACAAATGTTTAGAGAAAATTGACTATGAAAAAGTGAGAGAAAAAGGGTAGCAAGTGGGAGTCAGAAGTCAGAGACAGTAAAAGGAAAGGTTTTTCTCTTTTTGTTTTTATTTTAATGAGAAAGAGTTAAAGAACCTTTTCATGGGAAATCAACAATTGGTAGATGATGTTGAATACAAGAGATGGGAGTTTAAGCATCTGAACTGGAGGGGATTTGTTGATAAGTTTACTGATGGAGGTTTGGCATTAGAAAGGAAGACATCTCCTCTATCACAAATAAAAGTTAAATAGAATAAGCTGGATGTGGGATATAGGTTGAGAAGTAGAAATACGTGTGAATTTTAATTCAGTATCTTCTGATTCTCTATAAAGTAGCAGTGAATGTCATCTGAGAATTAGGGGAAGTGAGAAGATTAAATGTTTTATGAGGCTAATGGTTTGAAAAGTCATTGTTGAAACTGAACAAGTGAGTTGACATACACATACACACATGCATGCATACATACAGAAATAGATAGACTAATAATAGAAGGAAAGAGAAAGAGAGAGAGAGAGAAAGAAAGAGAAAGAAAGATAAGAAAGAAAGAAAGGGAGGGGAGGGAGGAAGAAAGATACATGTGATTGATCATTTCTGGTTACTTAGACATATTCAAAAAGTTTCAGGACCATCTTTCTGAATCAGTGGTTCTCGCCTTTTTTTTTTTTTCTGCTCCAGTACAGCTTCTCTACAAGTAAGGACTACCACATACTCATATCAAGCATGGTGGTCTGCTATATCACTGATTCTGAAGGCTGGATTGAGGTACTTCCTTAGGAAGGTGTATACAAATCTCAGAGATAGGAAAATGTGTGTGTATAAGTATGTGTCGTGTGTGTATGCAAATGCATTTGTGCAGTTTGAAAAAGCCCATTATATGATTCTAGTATCCTCTCCACAGGGAGACTGGCAATTTCTTCTTGAGAATAAAATAGCCAAGTGTTGAAAGTGGACCAGAATTGAGGAAGTTCTCCATAGAACTAGGACAAGCAATTACTATATTTAATAAATATTTTAGCACATACAAAATTATCAGTTCACTTTTCCGAAAGAAAACAATAACAAACCACAGCACATCTTCCCTAGATATTTTTCTTTATTACCTTATAGAAATTCACTTTGTGATACATACAAATATCTATTATTAAAATCAGTATAGTGACTATTCTAATTCATAGTCATTAAATGTAAAACATTTATTTATTAGCAAAATATTTATGAACATTTACAAATATTCAATCAACATGTCAGCAAATCTCTCCTTAGGTGGAATTTTCTGCCTTTAGTTGAGTCATAAAATGCTTTGGGTCCCTAGTGCATCAATTCGTAAATTACTGATCCACAGTACTTTAATATCCTGAAAAAAGAAATGTACTTTTTGAGAGCCTAATTGAATCTTGAGGAGTTATTTATTCACCATTAAGATTGAGATAAATGAGTCAGCTCACAATAGTCATACTAAAGACAGTTATATTCATTTCACAAATAGATAAACTGAAGCTCAGAAAAGGTAGGACTAGAGAGCTAAGGATCCAGGTTAGATTTTCCTTCTGAAAAGACCCAATTCCTAGTAACTAAGCTATGCTAAATAAATATATGAGCTTGAAAGCAATAACTATTTCTCTGAAAATTCATTTCCATATAGAGTTATTAACTTTAATACCTCTCAGTTAATAATCCGAAACTCATAATTCTTAATGTTAATATAGCCTTGTTGCAGTGTAAATAGTACAATTAAGAAAAGCAAAATTTCAGACTCTTTTAAGGTAAAAACTCTCCTAAAACCAGTTATCCTAATTGCTTACAATATGAGTCATTTGGAAAACAAATGATTTCTTGCAGTATGGTAAAGTGATTATATTATGAGCCCTGGCTTTGCAGTAAGAAAAACATTGCTTTAATATCTGGCTTCTAAACTTATTAACTGTGAGAACTGAATGAGTTACTTAAACTCTTGAAGTTTCAGTTTCTTCATCTATGAAATGGAGAGGAAAACATGTAATTCATAACTCATTGTAAGGATTAAATGAGAAAAGTTATTTAAATACTTAGCACTGTATAGATGGGCTGATACACACACACACACACACACACACACACACACACACACACACACACACAGACATACACACAATGCTTAACTTTAGCTAGACTATTTTTGCAGCTGTTATTACTTCAGAGACTAGATGTATGGGAATTGGTTTAGCATTCCACTAGGCATGTTAATTTTCATGTCTTTTTTTTTCTCCAAAGGCATTAAAACCAGTTTCTATATTCTTTCATCAAACTATAAAAAAAAAAAAGAATAATGAAAATGTTCAATTTACTATTGTTTGTGTTTGTCTGAAAGGAGTTTTGCACAGGTTTAGTCACAGCCACAGATAATTATTTCAAATAAGATGCATCTGTTAGATATTTAAATATGTTTTCATATCATAGAATTTAAATGTGAAGTCATTTGTTATGTGCTGTCACTGCAATTCTGCCATGTGCCTTATATAAGTAAAATAGCATGTGCTCTGTGTGGTTCTGAGTGCTAACACTGAGAATCCAAGACACATACTGAGAACAATGGTTATTGCTCCAAGAAGAATTATCTGTTTCCTTAATCTTTAATTGTTCATTAAAATGTTTCAAGGTTTAAAAAATAAAATTATGGTAGCAACCCCTGGTGTATGATGTTATAACTTAATGCTATGAAATCTCTAATAAATTCTAATATATTTAGAACCCAATAATATAAATTTTGATCCAGAGAAATCTAAACCAAGGGTGAAATGCCACGTTGAGGTTTTTTTTTTTTTGATAACTTAGATGTTAAGAACATGTTGAATATCTTGGGAACATTTTCTCAGGAAAAATTCTTTAGAATAAGTTTTACCTTTGCTACTGTGTTAATGATGGCTTTGATAAAATGACCCAAGGAAAAAAGACAATTTCCTTCAGGCATTATCTGTGTCTGAAATATTCTTCACTGATTTCACATGCACTGATAATATGAACAAGGTAATTTGTCTAACTCTGGTGGGCCAAGATTTGCAGTAGGAAATGAAAAATTCACATATAGGTCTTCTCTAAGAAGTCTCTGCAGTGTTTTTCAGTTTATATAAAAAGGCTTAAGATGTTGCCTGAGGCATCTATTTTATTTTCCTCAAGGCAAGCTAAAGTGCCACAAATCAAGTTGTTTTTCACACTGTTAATGTATTCCTGTCTCTTTCAATTTCTCAGAGGGCCGACATAGGGATTTCTGCTTTGACTATCACCCCAGACCGTGAGAATGTGGTGGACTTTACAACACGTTACATGGACTACTCAGTGGGAGTCCTACTTCGAAGGGCTGAAAAGACAGTGGATATGTTTGCCTGTCTTGCACCATTTGATCTCTCACTATGGGCTTGCATTGCTGGCACAGTTCTTCTGGTCGGTCTACTGGTCTACCTCTTGAATTGGCTTAATCCCCCAAGATTACAAATGGGGTCGATGACTTCTACCACTCTCTACAACTCCATGTGGTTTGTGTATGGATCCTTTGTACAGCAAGGTAAGGAAAATATATATATTTCAGTACAAAAAAGGAATGTGATGTTTCATATGCCATGCATTCAGTTAAGAACGTTCTGTGTCTTGACATCAGTAAGTGTTCTAAAGGTCTTTACAGCAATGCTAAGAAAAGAACATTTCTTGCTCTTTCCTAGTGGATCTCAAACAGCAGATTTTCAGTAAAAAATGGTACAGTATCTTTTGCTGTAAGTTCAGTTTTATCAACAAAGCCAAAGATGAATGTCAGAGGTAAGGTTCACAAGAAACTCAAGAGATTTTCCTTCCCAAGCTCCGATTCTGAGAAATAGCCTTTCTATTTCTCAGATAAATACTTACTGAGATTTATGAAAATACTTACTACCAGAGCAGATATTGCTTAATTATTTATGTGTATAAGAGATGTTAAGACTTGCTGTTTGTTGAGAGACATTGTTTCATGTATTAAAAATATTCATTGGCAGTGAAAAGACTTTAAGATTCTGATAAGAAATTTACGCTTTATCTTTCACTTTAATATATAATTTTTACCAGTTAACTTATAATTTCATTATATTCTAAACAATGTCTTTGTTGTGTTATTCAGTAGTCAATCTGCCTACTCTTTAAACTTATCTAGGTAATTACTTGACTCTTATTGTTTCAGAATAGAACAATATTTATTGAGCCCCTTACTTGAGACTACTGCCATCATAGAAAATGAAATAATAAAATACTTAGGGGATTGATAGTTTCTTCAATATGTATTGAAGAGAAGACATAGGTGTCACAATGGAGACACATGATTCTTTTGCCTTAATATTTACAACTCTCAATAACATCTTACTTTTTATATACACTTGCTATTGGATCTTCCATTAAATTTCATTCTTTCTATTCTCATTTAACTAATCATAAGGTTTGTCTAGACTTTTCATCTCTACTTTCTCACATAAAATCTATCCCGCAAAACTCTGTAAGCATGCTTTTTCCCGCTACCTTTCTGTATCTGTGTATCTTTATCGCAGATATTTTTGGTCCATTCATTAATCACTAATCTAGTAGATATTTAATCCATGCTATTTATTTAAGTAGAACTTTGCTAGGCACTGAGTATACAGTTGGGAGCAAGGGAGTCATTGCCATCATTGAGCTACAAGTCTTGTGGGATGCAAACATGTAAAATCCACGTGTGATAGAGACTGTTAGAGATCATAGTCGTGGAGAGGGTGAATATATCTTAATGTCGCAAAGAAGGCTTTTTGAATTAGTACTGTATAAACAGAGACAGAAGTAACTATGCAAAGAGCTTATTGAAGAAGAGGATGGGGGAAAGGATACATAGATGGTAGGATAGAATTTAAGACCAAGAAGTGAGGGAGAAATCAGAATAGACTATGCAGAATAGACTATGGGGCTGGTAAAGATGAGGCTGAAGATATATTTGTTATTATCAGGGGTTTGAATTTGATCTTCAGGGAAATTATCAGTAATTTAAAGGTATTAAACAGGGAAATGCATGTTTAAATTTTTACTATAATCAGAAACATTGTGATTATAGTATGGATAAAATTGAAAGAGAGCAATGTGGAAAGGGAAACAAATTATCAGAGTATTATAATAACTAAATAAAGAGTTAATGTGGCTTGCACAAAGGTAAGATGACACTGGGAATCAAGAGAAGGGTATTGGTGAATTGGAATCTATAGAACCTGATAAATTATATAGTGCTATGGGGATTGGTACTGAAGGAGAAAAAGGAGGTGAAATTTTATCCTAGGTTTCTGGATTGGGCAATTACGTGTATTGGTTGTCGATGTCATTTTCTGGGGAAAAAAATCAAGAAGAGCAGGTGTGATGTGGAAGATGATACATTCATTTTGGTACATTTGAGTTGAGGTATCTGTGAAATATCCAGGGGTATATTTCTAATGCTTGTTAATGGTTTGATATATTTGTCAGAAGCACAGAAGAGACATCTGGGCTAACAGATTGAGGAGATATTGGCATGTAGGAGATAATTGAAGCCATGGAAGTGAACAAGATCGTACAGAGTAGTTGTTCTCAACTGCATACTCCTGATTGAGGACGACTGACTCAGAGAGGGCCTAGGACAGAGCCCTAAGGAAAGGAATGGGTAGATGAGATTTCAGTGATAACTAATAAGTAGTGACAAGAAAGATGCAAGTACCATGTGTACCATCTAGTGGTATACATACCAAGTAAAGACAATATTTGAATATGGAAGATTGGTTGACGGTGTTAAACATTTCAAAGAATGAAGTAAAATTAATACTTGAAAGGTGTTCATTGGATTTGGCAATAACCTTGTTATTGGTAGTATTCCAGTGACTAGAGCTGCATAATAAATTCCTCGAAAACTTATCAGTTTCGTGGGTCACAAATTTAGACAGGACATGGTGTGGATGGCTTGTGTCTGCTCAATGATGTCTGAAGCCTCAGCTAGACAGCCCAAAGTCTGGAGGCTGAACTTATCTGAAGGCTTGTTCATTTCATTCACACGTCTGGTGGTTAATGCTGGCAGAGAGCTGGTGACCTCAGTTTTCCTCTACGGCCTTTCTCCATAGGATAGTTTGGCTTTCTCACACCATGATGATTGATTTCTCTATAGAGCGTGTCCCCAAAATAGGGGAAAGAGTCAGTGAAACGGAAGAATTTTTTAGTCCAGGTTGGGGATCACAAACTTGTATGATGGTGTGAGCTTCTCTTGCAGGAAACACTCTGGATGTGCCACCTCATGGCTTTGTCATGAGAATTTAAATGGTTTTAAAATGTGAAGTTCTTAGATACAGTAACTTATAGAAGTGTCACATAAGTGTTTACTCAGTAAATAAAAAACAAATTAGTCTCAGCTGTGGATAGTTAGACACACGAGAAAAGGATAACAAGGCAGGTTATTTTAGATTATTAGCAAGACGGTGGTTGTGAAATAGTAGATTCTAGGGTATATGGAGCAATAAAAAATAGAAAGACCAATAATCAGAGTGTAATAGAGAGTAAGACTGGAAAGTAAGAAAGTGGTAGTGGGAGAGAGTAGAGTTCTTGGTGAGGCCAAAGAACAACTGTAGAAATATCAGTGTGAGATAGTTCAAAGTTTGTATTGACAAAATGGGACACCTGAGCCTAACATTTTTGAGATGAAACAGTAGAGGACAAGTTACAGGTGTGTAGATGTGGATTCCTGAAGAGTTGGTGAAGAACTTCAAAGCTGATCAACTGAGAATCCAGAGGAGTAGATGAGCCATCTGTAATGATGGTTGGCTTGGATTAGAGAGAAAGAAAATAAGCCGTGTGCCAAAATTGTCAATAAATGAGGATAGATATCTAGGATGTTGATAAACATGAGTACTGACTAGAAATAGAAGGTGGTAAGGCTACATGTAACTAACCTTTCTGTTTATCTCACTTCTTCCCATTCCATCTAGTTTTTCTGTGCATGGTTTCAATAACTACGAAAATCTAGATGACTCCCAAATCTATATCATCCTTGAATTTTAGGTTTATGTACTCTCACTAGACTCTCTGGACATATCAGAGATACCACAAATTCCAACATGCCAATAATTGGATTTTTTTGCACTTTAAACCTTTATAGCCTCTCGTGTTCTCTATTCTAGCTGATGCATTAGCAACCACTCAGACTTACAGGTTAGAAACTTTGAAAACAGTTTTGATTTTTTCTTCCTTCTATCCCTTATATCCAACTATAAGTCATGCAAATTTTACTTCATACTTATTTCTAGGAGTGGAAATCTCTTCTCACCTAGAGAGATAAGACCTGGATTTTTACCTAGATTAGGCCTATCTCATTTCTCATCTGAGCTACAGGAATCTCATAATAGGTCTTTCTTTTTCAGTTTTGTTTCCTGCAAATATATGCTCCACATACTTACACATATACTCAAATTATCACTGTCATGGAGAGCTAACCACATAATTCCCATTCCTCAAATATTTCCTTGGCTCCCCAGTGCCCACAGTTTAAAGTTATTTAGAGCATGAACAATACTCCATCGTTTGGGTCTTCACCAGTCTTGATTCTCATCTCCTACCACTCATGGCTCACATGTAATTGTCCAGTTATTCCAAACTGCTTTTGTCTCTTGAACAGAAGACAAGACTGTGTCTTGCCTCTCTGCCTTTGCTTCTACTCTTTTCAAATCGTGAAATGCCTTTATTACCAATTGCTTAATCTCTACGCCCACTCTCTGCTTTCATATGGCAAATTCCTGTGCATCCTCTAGTTCTTATTCTGATCTCACTTCCTTCAGGAAGTCTTTGCGTTTTCTTTTGTCTCCACCTGAGTCCTTTGAACACAAGATAGTGTCCTATTTATCTTTATAGTCTCTTTGCCTAATTCAGTGTCTTGTACGTATTAGGTGTTTAATAAATGCATACTGATCAACTAAATAAGTGAATAAATGCTAAATACTTAACTAAATCAAGCATGGAATTAACTGCAACACTGTGTTTATTAGATTACAGTCTATTGCCCAATGACTTAAACTCACTTAAACCAAACAGGAAGTTATCAGAATGTCTTCACTGGTGTATTTTCTCAAGTAGCTAAGATGAGAAACTTATAAATAAGGTTTCCCATTGGTTGAAGCCTTACTTTTGAGAATGTTGACAAGCTTATGGACTGGCTTTCTGAATTCTGTCTCCAGGTGGCCCAGTTTCAGCAAGTTTTGGAGAACACCCAAAAGAAAAAGATAAATAAAATTATCCATATGGTTACATGCTTTTCTAGTCTGTAAACAGGCTTCAGATATCAAAAGTTATAAATATGTTAAGCACTTTTCTATCTCAACTGCTCCCTTAAATAAGTTGTACAGCCTGTGGGTTGATTATACATTTATACGAATTCATAATGATGCATCATGCTGAATTGCATATGATTAACTACTTCATCTCTGAAATGTTACTATTCTTCCACCTGCTAACAATGGAAAAGGTGAATTCATTAAAAGGTACTGAAAGTATCTTTACACTTTGATTAAAAAT